GGGCCCTGCTGCGGCAGCGCCGGCCCTCGGGTCCCGCACCGTGAGGGTACGGAAATAGCCCTGTGTCTCCGGCGCCGTGTTTACTTACAGTGTTGCACTCGGTTTAGCTGGAGGCGTGGTGTGTACACTGAGTCAGCTGCTCCAGGGCGAGAGGTTTACTTCATGTTTCCAGCTCCGCTGGTTTTGCAAGCGAGAGGGCCAGAATTTCTTGGGTTTAATGGAAACTTGGATTTGGATGTTGCGTAACTCCGGAAGCTGGAGCTCTGAGCATGTGCCTAGGCCTTAATTTCTTTTGCCCAAGGATATATCAACCTTGTTGACAAAGTTGTGCATGAAAAGTGCAGAAGGCAACTGCTCCTTGTAATCATACTTCAAATTCTTGTAGCGTATACCATTCCTAGTATCCCGTTTGTGCATGTCAAGGGGACATACTTTGGCTTTTGGGTAGACAGCCAAAGCTTGCTGCCACATCTTTAAAAAAAAAAAAAAGAAAGAGCCCTGTGCTTGTGGGCAAAAAGCAAAAATTATTACTTAACTTTATGTAGTAATGAATGCATACATTATTACTTGTGTTCTCCACCCTCTGTCAAATACCTCCTCTGGCTAAATTTGCAATTTTCATCTGCAATTACAATTCGGAAGGAGTGCACATAGCTACTTGTAAATGAAAATAAATAGTGGTGATACAATTTGTTGTTAAGTAGTCTGGTCTAGGAGCCAGGCTGTCCTTCAGTGAACTTTCAGAGAGACTTTCACAGCTTTCAGAGCACCTTTCTGTCCTCTGCAGGATTCATTTTCTGAGCTTGGTAAAACAGGGACACGAGGTTTAGTTTTGTAAGCTTTGTAGCAGTGCAACAAGCAGAGTGTTAAAGATGAACACGAAATAAAATCAACATGCTGTGCTCGGGGTAAGGGCCTGATCTGCTTTTGTTGGTTTTTTTTTAATAAAACATTCTGTTGCTTCAGGCTATAAGCCAGAGCTCTTAAGGGGAAGAGGAAAAAAAAGGAAATTGTGCTTAGTATTGGGAGATCATATGAAAAATAGCCCTCACTACAGCCAAGAACCTAAAA